TKGRRRTTATTACAGTCAACTCTCGCCTTACAGACACCCCGCTACAACGGACACCTCGATATTGCGGACAATAAAATACTGAATCCCCGGCGAAAAATACAAAGAAATGACTGAAAGTATAACTCCCGCTATCTCACTACTTCGGACACTAAATTAGTGTCCGTTATAGCGAGAGTTGATTGTATACCAGACATTATAACTGTGGAAGGACTACATCTGCCATCTTGCTTTGATGTGCAAAATGGCGTCTCTGCCATTATTTGTCTAATTCATCTGGCATGGTACAATTTCAAGTCAATTTAATTAAAATGATGATTAAAATCACTTTTARATTATTGTCATTAATCAATTAATCGTTCATTTTAAATCCCCAGCTTAACGGTCGTAAATTATGGCTGGATTTATACGGTTTTTAGTCYATGTAACTCTATTGATTGCATGTTTCCCATTAGGTAAGTGGCRCTTTYTGTAAAACGCGCGCGTCTGTCTTGTGGGTATGTAAAGACTGATGAAAAGCGCGCGCTACCATGAAGAAAATGTAACACTTTTTGATTATTACATGAGCTTGACACAGATGATACTCTGATTCAGAGTTACATTAGATGACATTAAAGAATAATAACCAACCGCCGTACCTTGCGCGCTCGTATTATTGTTTACATATGTTTAAATGTATCAAGCATATAATCGATTATACATTGATAGTACCTGTGAGGTACTTAGTTGAAGGCATTTCTGTCCGAAGGACGGAAGACGATTCGTGCTCACTTTAAGAAATCCTACGGATCCGCCATTTTCGTGTCTACTTAAAATGGCGCTTCGGCTCGCAAGGTACGGCGGTTGGTTATGATTCTTTTTAAAAGTAATTTTTTATAGCTTTTTTTCTATTTATTTGAAAGCAATTTTTATTTATTACAGCAAATGCATAATCAAGCTGAATTCTTGATAGACATTCATTCATAGATAATATGATTATTTCTTTCAGCAAGTTCACTATGTGAACGTAAGATTGACTTGGGTTTCGTCATCGATGGATCCGCGAGCATGGGCGAGAAAAACTTCAACTATATCAAAAAGTTTGTCAAAAATGTCATCAAATTTTTCGCGATTGGCGAAGAAAATACACAAATTGGTGTCATTCCTTTCTCGCATTATTTCAAAGTAGAAATTAAGTTAAACCAATATTCAGACTATGGAGAATTGTCTAAAGCTATAGACAATTTGGCATTCGAAGGTTCTGGGTCGACTCTTGCCGGGGCCTTAAAGATTGCGCAGCTAGAACTGTTTGTTCCAGAAAATGGCGGTCGTAAGGAAGCGATGACTGTTTTTAATCAGCCAGAAGGTGTGACCGTCCAGGAGTCAGAAAAGGAAGGTATTTTAATCAATCCCGTCAAATGATGAAACCATCTTAACTTTGGCTAACCTTGTAGCCGGGTGCTTTTGGAAAAGTAAAATCAACTCAAACATTATAATTTGCTTGCTAACTTACATAATTAATCATGAGATCAATCAATCATTCAATCAATTATACAATCAATCAATCAAATCAAATCAATCAATCAATCAATCAATCAATCAATCACTCGTTCAATCAATCAATAATGCAATCATGCAATCGGCAAAATCAATCAATCAATCGCCCGTGCAATSAATCACTCGTTCACTCAATCAAAAAAGCAGTCATTCAACTSTGAAACTTACCCACGGTCGACTCACCAATCGTACTCTCTCTTCACTAGTAAACATCTTATCATCTTATCTTTAGCTGTTTTCCAAGCCGTGGTCGTGATCTCGGACGGCGGGAGTAGTACTGGAGTAGATGCCCTTCTATATTCCGCGGAAAATTTAAAAAGGTCCGGAAAACGCGTGTTTGTGGTCGGTCTTGGTAAACATGAACACATGAAGAACATTAAAATGATGGCAAGTGACCCAGAAAAAACACATATCTTTCTCGTCGAAAATGGAAARCAACTGAACTCACTGACWAAAAAGTTAGCGGATGCTATCTGTAAGGATATCAAACCAGTAATGCAGAAATTTACCGTATCAGAGAACAGCAAAGTTATAACATCATTATTGTACAATAGCGGTGGTGACTAAAAAAAACCAAGATCTTTGATAACAAGATTCATCTTCGTTTGCGGAATACATGGGAACAATRCAATCTACACAGGCTTTTGAAAAAACCGCTGAGCAGTCATACTGCAGAGTTTATTCCACGACYGAAATGCATTGTTGCATTTGAACTCTGATAKGMATTACWAAWKRMCAWYYWAWTKSYTTTTTTCGAAGRKACAAGAGCTGTTGTTCCGAATGATCATGATAGCATTGTATAATATTCTGTTATATGAAGTCGTATATTATATAATGTTAATCTATTGCTATGTGGATATAATGCAATAAAATGCCATGTACAAACTTATATATTGTCAGAATATTGAATAAACTTCAGAGAACTGACACAGTCTCGCTGAATTAGTAATGTCCCGGCCTTTTAGCGCTGATCAGCAATAAATATAGGTTTAAGAAATACACACTACCCCGTATACTCAAGAATACTCCACGTTTTCTACTGTAGATGCATATTCATTCAAGGAACGAGTCCTCACGCGTTAGAGAAGCAGATGTCAAAGGCAGTCTTTAAATGACAATACTCCACTTTACAGTTCCAAGCGCCAATATCTTGAAAGATAGTCGARCTTTGCATCAAAGCGAGACAGAAGTTAAGCTTACAATGATAGATACCTGTGAATAATTGTCTTGTGTGAACAAAAGGTACTTATCAATGCGGGCTCAAATGATGTCTCCCTTTGATGCAAAGGCTTCGTTACCTTTCAAGATGACGCTTTGAACTGTAAAATGGAGTATTCTGTTCTTGTTTGTTGTGACGAAAGGCCTTATGGGGCCTCTCGTCACTATGTYATCGTGTTGAGTGACCGAACCGTAACCATCCACTTGTAGCAGGCGTTCCTTGCGAGTACTTGATATGTTTTTAAACTTAAAAGTMAAAAAAAATCCGCTAGAGAAAAACAAACGAAGGAACAACAGCAAAGAAAAGAATAAAAGAAAAAATAGAAAAAAAGAAAGAAGAAAAAAAAAACAATAAACAAACGAAATAGAAACAATAAACAAGCGAAAAAAAAAGAAATTTCAAAAGCAGGACTCGAACTCAGAACTTTCACTTAAGGAGAAGATGTACCCCCCCTGAAAACATAAGAAATAATGAAAAAAAAAATAAAAAAATAAAAAGATGGGACGATTCCCCCGAGACATTCTATGAAGCTGAGGCGTCGAATCGGCTTACGTTACGGTTAGAGATTTCGGCTCTTCCACGCTATCCCGAGTGAACATAAAACTTAGTCTTAACCAAAAGGCCAGGGAGTGAGGGGGTAGCCGCCCACTAGAGCATACYTTTAGCTACCCTCTTAGACCATCGTACTATGAAGACACTTATAGATATATAATATCTAATGGGGGTAGTCTATTCGGTGAAGTTCTATGCTAATGTATGACGTCACCAAAATCCTTCGGGATTAGTGAGCCAATCAGAGCGAAGCTCTGGAATGGCTTTGCTTGCATAATCATTCTTCAGTGGATTTATTATTTGATGGGGGTGGGGATGGGTGCTGAGTGCAWGTTTGAGGYCGAATACCGCTGTTCGGTATGATATGACGGCTCGCACCAAGCTGTTCAATTGTCGTTATTGTTTTCCATATCAGACAGACATTATTAGGGTGCTTTCCATTTAAGCAGAACCGGCCGGCCAGTCCGCTCTAATATTTAGAGGTATATTATGCTTTTTGTCAACATTTTTCAGTCATTTCGAGGTTTTCTAAAGAATAATGTATAGAATTGAAAATTTGAATTTCCCAACTAAATAGGAATGATATATAATGACATTTTCTCTGGGTCTGGCCAGCCAGTTCTGACAAATGGAAAGCGCCCTTAGTATTCGGATAACACCACGGCACAAATCTCTTGAAATTCTTGACGTAAGTGTAAACCAGGCAGATATTTACTGCAATTCAACGGAACACAACTTTAAAGACTTCTAGAGCGTTCCATGTATATTATCGTATTATATAAAAGTTTACAGCCTTTTGCAAAAATTATGAGAATTGTCTAAATATCTAAATATCATAATATCCATATCCATATATTGTCCGGAACACGCGGGTTTGCTAGAATAATTCATTGTTGACATCGAGAAAATGTTCAGAACTACGGATAAGTCTGTCGCCAAAAAAAACTAAACTACAAAGACAAGGGACTAAGGGCATCGCGCGGGATTACCCATCATGCACTCGATATTATAATACTAGATATTTCGCCAATTCTCATAATTTTTGCAAAAGGCTGTACACATTATTCGCTGATTATTTAATATAAATATAGTGCCGAATGTTAACAATTTGAAGAGGATGAATGATAATCTGTATAAAATTGATAAAGAAATCAAGGAAAACTTAGCAAGCTTTTGGTTTTATTGCAAAACTATATAATCAGGCGAAGAATTGTAATTTTAAAACATGGATGTAAAAAAACTGTTCAGATAATAAAAACATTTTATCGGAGAAAACGTACGAGAATTAATCATGAGTTTATAAATACAGAAAGATGTCTTTGACTACAGCTAAATTAAAGCTCTAAGGACCGCTCCATGTCGTGGATAAAAATTCCTTTTCCGATCGAATCTTTCAGACGGATATGTTTACTGTAGGCAGAGAAACACGGGAGGAATGATCAAACATCACAATAGGTTCCTTGGCCCCTGGGAATCGCCGCCTGTTGTGTATTCATAAGCAACGTAATGGTTGATCGCCACGTGATGCTTCCAGTTCCTKKCAGCRYATACAGATAATTCAGAAAACGTTGTATACTGAAGATAGTGTATTCGAAGTTTACTAAACATCTTAATGGCCTGAGTCACATGCAGTCCTCGATTGCCTATTTTTTCTTTTTGTTATTGGTTTGTTTAATATATAGCGCTATACAACGAAGTGCCATGCCACAAAAATAAACGGACACAAATATATTGTTTGATCAAGTTWATTTTTTTGTGAGTGGATATAAAACAATTATAAAAGCCACTCTATACTCGCTACGCACACTGCAATCGTTGACAAAATCCTTGGACCATTCCAGCGAATTTCCTCATTTTAAGCAACACCCGCAGACAATTTCATCCCCCCTGACCCCCTTAGCGCAATGTTTTCATTGAGCATGTTACCATAGTACACAAGCATCCTAAACAAGACCCAACATTGATGAAAGGGGACTAAAGKGGAGAAATGTGAAAAAAATAAAGAAGAAACTAATTAGGCTGGAGATAAATGATTCAATGGTCCAAATTTTTTGGGCAACGAATGTAGCTTGTAGGCTACAAGACGGACATGAGTTTGTTCTACATATTCTTTGAAAGGGTTAGCACTCCTGTTAATGTCTTTAGTCGCCATATGCCAAAAGTAAAAACACGATTCATGAACGAATATACTAATGAAAAGCAAACATCTAGAAATTCTTATTTTTTAATGTCTATAAATGTATATGATAAAATTTAAATATTCAATACACACTAAAAATTACAAGAAAATGATTAAATTATTTCCATATATCTTTATACAAAGTATATATAAATTAATGGAACTTAATGGAAAACAATTAAACCAGTAGTCACTTGTTWAATGTTATTTAGATTTTGTTTCACGGAATTATAAAATATTCTAGATCTGTTTACGTTTACGATCTGATTTATGTCGCGACAACTTGGAGTCATAAACTTGAAAACACTAGCCTAGTGTTTTCAAATTTTACTCGCGCATGAGTGCCATTGACAGTGTCCCTTTAACTCGTTGAATAGTTACTAGATTTTCATAGCGCAGGACATTTTTGTGGCTTTCATTTACTCTACTTGAAGTATTGAACGATTATATTTAGCCGGCTAGGGTTGTTTTCATAAACTCGTGAAATACACTTTAGCTTACTATACTACATTGCACTTTTTTTCATCTTTTCGGTGTATCAGACATTATTACTTTCAATGACTATTATCAAACTTTGTTTCACGGATTTAGGAAAATCACTGTAAAACCGTGAAAYACACTTGAATGTCAACTACACTTTGTTACTCTTTGCTAGTGTTTTTTCCGTGTTTTCTGTGTTGAAGCATCAAACGATATATTATACTTTGACCGCAATTATATTTTGTTTCACAAGTTTTCGAAGRTTACTCTTAGTATAGCGACTTTGTGCCATTAGAGTGGTTTTCATTAACCCGTGAAACACACTTTAGCGTATTTATTTTATCGCTATTACACTTTGGCTCTTTTGTTTTTTATTGTCTCTACGCGACTATTACGATCTATTACACTCTAATTATTACACTTTGTTTCACGGGTTTATGAAGACCACTCTTTTCACTGCATTATAATAATTATTATTACTAATTATCATTAATTTTGTTGTTCACTCGGGTGAAGCTACAATTAGCTTTGATTGTGACTAACTTAATTAGTCATCTAAAACATTTTACAAATGAAAATATAATTGATAAGTTAGTATTATAATATGATAAAAGTGAAATATTTCCTTGATGTATAGTTTTTCACAATAATTCAAATTTATATTTTACGAGCTGAAATGTTAACAAATATAGACATATAAAACTGTCGCCATCTTGAATAAATTTCCATAGAAATTAAGACATGCCATATAGCTCGTCTAGGTAACGGAAACCTCTTTATTACGGACACCACTGCATTACGGACACCTCTGTATTCAATCGGACTTAATTAGTGACAGTAGAACTGTTTTCTTCAATTGATACTGAAGGCACAGGCTCTACATCGCCACCTTGAACTATCATGTCACTACTTTCTTCATTGTTCATATCCGCTGTTTCTTTTTCATTTCCATTTGGTTCGCTTTCCTCAGTTTGATYATCACTCTCAACTTCTTGTTGGTCATGTTCAGCAAGCTCAAAAGTCACGTGATTGCATTCCTTATCGCTATCAAGTGATTTAGTTGGTGTTCGTGCTGTTTGTAATTCAACAACGTCCACGGGACACGATTGAAGTTGCTCCAGAGAACTGTGCATGTCAAGATACACGAGTAGTACCCTGTAGCAGTACTCGTACTGAATCTAAAGAAATATTTTCGTGCGTTAAAGGKCACGTGATGACATGGTCACTATCAAGTAATTAAAGGTAAACTATGACGTCATCACAGGTTCACTATCACGTGATTACTGGGACACTRACACGTGATGACATGGTCACTATCACGTGGTTCAAGGGGTACTACGATGTCATCACAGGGTCACTATCACGTGATTACTGGGACACTGACACGTGATAATATGCGCATGCTCAGTTATTTGAATCCATACCTTTGTTTGTACCATAGCTGGTCTTTGTTCTCGTAATAGTTTGACAGTAGTAAAGACGTCCACGAGGGCTTCAGCTTTTAGTCTTTCAATCAATGAACAAACAGCACAGAACACACCAGTTCGACCCACGCCAGCACTGTAGGTGAAGAATTAACCAATAGTGAGCGAGAATGGATGATATCAGGTACAGGCAAAGAAACGAATATACAAACAGACTGAGTACAAAATGACTTACAGTTAATTCTACCAATCAATCAATCCATCAACCGTTATATCAATCAATCAATCAGCCAATAATGAATGAATCAATCAATAATCAACTATCCAAGAGCTTATTACACAGGTATTCAATCAATCAATCGACCTACTTCTACATGGACACCTCACTATTAGTACGTGCAACAACAATTAGAGTCAATAATTTCTATTACCATACCTGCAATGTACTGTGATTACGTGGTTTCCTGATTCTTGTTGCCATGTTCCTATCTCACCAATCATACTCAATAGGCCGCTCTCAGAGTCCGTGATRTCATCAGATGTCCACTCCATGAAGTGATACTGTCGAAGAGAACGACTGGACTCGTCCTAAACGAACAAGAAACAAGTTATAATACGTTTTATATTTTGCTAGTTTTACTGTTGTRTTATATTTTCGTGACCTGATGATGCTGGMGTCCGGTGAAAGCTTGTCAAAACTTATTTGACTCTCGACAGTAATGTACGGCCCTCAACTCTCATTTAAACTCATAATGCTGAAGGACAACTTCCTAATTARTCTTAATAATCACTGAATATTTATCTAAATACGCTCTTACTTTATAAGGGAAATAGCCAACTATACCATGCAAGGCGCCCGCAACTTAAAAATTTGCGACAGAAAATCAAAATGTATTTGAGTTGACTGATTTTTCCCTGCTGGCAAAAAAACGGTTTAGATGACTTAAAAATATTCTTTTACAATCAATTTCTATCTGTCAATTTTACGAAGATATCATATAAACAGCACTATAGTTCAATATAAAATATTCAAAGATTAAGGGATCATAAATAGTAAGTTTTTGTGTATATTACAAGTGCATTTTGAACGCAAAAGCTTGCAAGGGATGCCGGTTAGAGATGGCCCTTTCAAGTGACGTTAAAGAAGAAGGGATTTCTTCAAAAACCGCTCGGCTTGAAAGCATCTACTCACCTGGTTATTTGTAATTTTAAAAACCCTAATATCAAAGCTTTCCTTCTTTTCTTCTTCTATCAATTCAACTTGAAGATTTCCGTACGTGATTGGATGAGAAGTTGGCCAATAGCGATCCATTTTTTGCTGTCAATCATAATAACCATAAATGGTATCAGGCACACCACATTCAAAAACAGATAACATAACATAGTTGCTCAATTTAMAGAGCCTGTAAATGTACTGTAAATATAATTTAATTTACAGACAAAATGTCCTTTTATAAACTCTGTAATTTTGACAAGAAATTTACAATGTTTGATCGAGTAAAATTTACAAGAAATTTACAGAATGTACATAAAATTTACAAACTTTTGTAAAAGGACAATTTGTAAATTGCATTATTTAACACTATATATTTACATGTTATTTACAAACTCTGTAAGCTATAAGTTTTTCCAGTGTATAAAGAATACCTTAGTATTTTCCATTTCCTGAGCAAGAGTGACAATCGTAAAGCATTCCTGTTCCCATACCATCCTCCAAAAGTCAGAAAACGTCTCCGGCAGAGGTGCTTGAGTTGCAATGAAGGCCTTCTTCTTTCTGTATCCGTCGATGAAGCTAGCGTTAATGTAATCCGAGCCAGTAACAGCCACTTGGACAGACAGTTGAACGCGAGTATCGTCGTAAGGAAACGTGTTGTGGTAACGATTTTTGTGTTTGTTTGCTGAATGTTTGGCTTCGGATGCCGTTAAACGGGGTTTCACTCCGAGAAGCAATCGTTGGAACTCCTTCGCTAATGTTGGTTCGTCTGGAAAGTGAAAATGGTATATTAAATACATTAATGTGATAAGATAGTTATAAATATTTAAGGAATAAAAGATGAAATTCCGTGTTTGATACTCTGATCAAAACACGCGGGATGTAGGGAGAGCACGAGAGAAGCGTAGGAAACCACGACGCGTAGCGGAGTGGTTTCCAGCTTTTCGAGTGCTCTCCCTACATCCCAAGTGTTTTGATCAGAGTATCAAACACGGAATTTCGTCTTTTATTTCTTTTCTAAAATTAAAAGAATAAAAGAAATTTTTGATGCGCACGAGCGTGTTTTGATACTGTAATCAAACATGGTTTTCGACCAATCACAGCGCGCGTAGTATCCTAAGTATTTTAGAAATATATATAATACATAGATTCATTGTTTGATAAAATTGATATTTCTGTAATCTAAAATCAGGGTGCATTCCAGATTACGATCTATCTTCAGTACAAACATTACCATATTTGTCCCCATGAACAAAAGGTTTTGTGCCGAATCAAGACCAAGCAACGCGTAATACTCGTTCAGAAAAAATAACTACTCGACAACAACTCACTTAAACGACATGTCAAAATTGAACCTACGCTGAAGATCATTTAAATTTGAAAAAAAAAATGAAAATAATTGCAAAACACTGAGAAAAAATGAAAGAATAGRCGATTTCCGCGATATGCGTGCGCCTTAAGAAAGGTATTTTAGGTCAGAATTCCAAAACTTGCTTATATTTTTGCCCGAAAATTCCTCGTGTAAAGCACGAGCCTGCGATGTTTTTGAAAGCACCCTCGTATCYCGCATATCGTTTCATTAGCATTGAAGTCATCACATGTRAAATTCAGTRYTTTTTTCAGCTTACCAGATTCTTGTGTTAGCTCCGTCAGATCTTCGACATGTGACCTAATCTTGCTTGCATGTATCTCTGTGTCTCCACTTACTATTACGTCATATAAAGCATCGTGTATGAATATGTATTGTTGTTCGGTCTGCACCATTAGATTACGCTGTTTGCGTAATTGAATGACGTAATGAAAGATATCGACGGTCTTTTCTTTAGCGATTTGTCGAAGCATCGTGTCGATTACGATGAAAGTTCCGGTACGACCGACTCCRGCGCTGCAATGCACAACCTATGAAAGATTAAGTGTCATGTTTTAAGTCCCGTTTACACTTTTGATTTTTGCAGCGATTTTTATTTCTGCAATTTTTCGGACGATTTTCAAAAATATAATAGATTTTGTCGTCTTATTCTTCTGAAGAGGCGTTTAGTTAGCTCATCTCGATAGTGTTCTGGATAAATTTTTAGAGTTAATTCTTTGCTTCAAAAACGGCTGAAAAACGGCTTTCAGAGATATTAGAGAGCTTAAGCATGACGTCCACGGCAAACTGCAAACGGCAAAAAAGTTCACCTGACCTGAGGTTTACCATAACAGTTTCAGCGCGAGAATGGGTTATTTTGAGTTTGCCATAATCGTTAAAAGTCGCTCTTTCCAATGACTACCTAAAGCACAAAGGTCAGGCACGAAATTCGTAGGTCATTGGTTCAGCTCTGCTGTTAACCGTTTGCCGTAAACGTGATGCTTAAACTCTTAGCTATTGGAGAAAAAAAGCCTGGAAGTTACTTTCCATAATTTTTTTTGCCATGATTCTCTCATCTCTACAAAGCCATTTTTTAAAGTTAAGTTATTTAACACCTAGCACTGAAAACGAAATAATAAATCGACTTACCATYGGTCCTGCATCGGAAGGGTTTGCTCTGACAGTCTCTCGGACAAAAGACAAGAGAAATGCTACGCTCCTTGGGACGCCATGATCAGGCCAACTAGTGAAGTGGAATTGCTTTATTAAACGAGTCTCATCCGAATCCGACATTGACAAACGCAACACGCGTATTGTATGAGAAGAAAGCTCGATTTGATCMACCAATGTGACGAGAGCTCCTTCGAATTTGAATGATCCGGATGAAGGCCAGTATTGAAAGCATTTGGGACGACCTCGTTCTCGCAGATTAGTTAGCTGGATTGATAAAAAAYATTTGCAATCACATATATTGTGAAGAAATAGTCAAGTTAGCCATTTTAAATGATGAGCATTACATTGTAGGCATTTAGATCTGTAAATTTAAGGTTAGCAGAAGTTTCCTGGAAGATTTCTAAGCGTACGAAACGACTCTCTCGATAGTCTCCTTCATTGTTACCTGCGCCATGATCTTGAAAGGTAGCTGTGACTTTGCTTCGAAGGGAGACGACCGTTCAGTGTCCAATGACAAGATACCTTCCTTCACACTTACAGATGATAATTGCACGCTCAACGGTCGTCTTGTTTCGATGCAAAGTTACGGCTGCCTTTCAAGATGGCGCAGGAAACCGTGAAGGAGACTATTGTTCTGGATCCTCATTTTAAAAACATTGTAATTAGTTTATTTGGYCAACGTAACTAACACTATTCATGATGATTTAATGATAACATAGAAAACGTTGCCATTAAATAGTAGGTAACTAACCATGACAATAACTTTAGTTTCCTGTTCCCACACCATGCGCCAGAAATCTCCACAMGTTTCATCCAGCGGTCCTTGTGTGGCGATATATGTCACCCCCTCGTAACCATCAATATAGCTCGCATTGATGTAGTCAGAAGCCGGCTCATCATCRAAGGGAATCAGTTTGACGCGATTATGATCGTACGTTACGATATTAGTGAATCKGTTCTTCCATTGGTTGTTGGGATCGATGCTATGAGTGGCGGGAATGCTGTGGTCGTCGCGTATGCGTTCGTATTCGGTTGAAAACAGCATGTCACCGCTTTTGTGCATGCGCGTGACATGCTGCGGGAACTCATCGACGGGGATTGGGTTTGGTGGGTGGTAGTGTTCTGAAAATGGCAAAAGAAATCTGAATAAATAATGAAGAATTACTGAAGGGAAGAAAGAGAAAACCTAAAGACAATTAGACATGAATAAATAAAGAAAACTGAAACAATATGCATTAAACATTGTAAACAAAGAAACAAACAAACGAAAAGGTAAGGATTTTATTTCATACAATGTAAAAAAGGTGAAAATTTGTAGGGTTTTTAGCAGAAACTTTGCTTCATTCGCAGGCTGCTCTCCTTTCTCCATCATGACGTAATACGCGAACAACGGCCGCTATGCTAAAGAAGGGAAGAGATTGCAGAGTGTAGCCCGGGTACGAGTCTATTAATGCCCCAAAAATTCGCTTTATGTACAGTGTACTCGCTTTGTATTCGCATAACTCGTCTGTCAACCGTAAGATGTTGCTGCAAGTAGAATCATTTAACTGTACAACTTTGAAATTAACTGTATATAATAAACACTATCATTAGAATAATATAAGCGGTAAATCTACTGAGTAAACACGTTCTAGGAGTAAAGATCGAATTTTGAGGATCTTTTCAAGTACAACTGTCTTTTACCTATTAAGAATATTCATGTACCTTTCAGCGAAGAACAAATTATACCCATTCATAACACGTTGGCTTCTTGGTGCTTTTKTGATTAATCAGCTGTCGACCATGGATGAATAAATAATCTTGAACTAAGCACTTTGTATTTCTCTTTTTTTTGGCTCTTTTTGGAGCTTTCACTCAATATAAGAAAATTTATTGAACAGAACCTACAAGTCAAATTGACTTTCTTACACCACCAGGCCATCTGATCGAATTAATAAGGCTGAATTGATTATAGACGCCTTTCCGCCGTGACTTCAATTTGTAAATTTGTCAAATGAACACAAACCGATGAATTGCGACATGTTGTCGCATTTCGAAGACAAAGAAGAAATTGCATAAGTCTAAAAGCTACACAAACAAAATTTGAAAGCATTCAGAGTGTGCAAACTTAACTAAGAATTGAAATTGAAATATCAAAAATTGACCTCATTTCGATTTTCTTTCTTCCTTTTTTTCTTTTGCGTTCTAAATATTGATTCATCAGTCAATACTTTTGATAACTAAATTTTCACCAATATCAGTGATATCATTCATTATTTTGCATCATAATTCGTCAATTGATTCAGAAAACAAAGGAGGAAGAGGAGTGACGTAAGACGCCGTGTATGACGTAAGACGCCKGTGACGTAATTAAGTATCTTACTAAATATACAAAGGAAGGTTATAAGTCAGTCCTCTCGAGTCCAGCGGTTTTTCTTTCCGGGATATGTTTTATATACATAAATACCTGCGCAAACGTAGCGTTTACGTATCGTATATTACCTTCCACAAGTATCTGATACGTACACGAATATTTCAAGGGATAATTCAACTGAGCATGCGCCGGCTTTACAAAGAGAGCTAAGTCTATGATGTCATCGCATATAAAAATATCCAGATGTACGAGCGTTGGATATGCAGCCAATTTTATATTCTAATGAATGCTAATACAACTAACATATACCAGCTGTATACATATACGACTTTTACCCCCAGGGTAAATCTCTTGAGGGTTTTGGAACCCAGTGATCAGGTTTTTTTCAAAGGTCCTGATTGAAGGATATTAGTATTGCATTGCATAGCTTTGCAGAGTATTGCATAGGCTTGCATCGTAGGTTATTATATTACAGTGCATTGCGATGCATATATAGTAGAACAAACACAGGAAAACCATGAAATAGAATCGAACTAAATACTAACAAATAGCGGCTATTTAGTGATAATTTGTCAGTATCAATGAACCAGAACGCGCGCAATAAAGATGAATGAAAAATGATCCCTTGTGGATTCATCTTCATTGTGTTCTGGTTCATTGATACTGACAAATTGTCTCTAAATAGCCGCTAATTGTTAGTATTTAGTTTGATTTTATTTCATGGTTTTCCTGCGTTTGCTCTCTAGTACATTGTAAAGCATTATTTTGTATTTTCAGTGATCAWGGAGAGATATTCCTCTCAACGTCGTCTATGCAACTGACTCACCGTTTATTCTTGCCATATGCATTGAGAAAGTACGAGCCATTTTCCCCAGTGGTCCCATGCCGTTAATTTCATATTTCTCGCTACGAATCGATTGATTTTGTCGCTTCTTTTTGACGTAATAATGAATCGCAAACGCAACCACAGCGATAATCARWATAACCAAGATACCAATCACACAGCCAATRATRATGTTATWATTACTGTGKGKGGGRTGGTGGGTGGGTGTCTGTATCGTCTTAGTGGGATGGATCCATGGTAAAGAGTTATAGTTGATGGTGTCTTTAGCGACCATGCGTTGAAAAGCTGTGTAGTACTTGTTTGGGCGAAGAGGTACGTTATGATACTTCTGAGAGCCTGTAAAAAATACTTTATTTTAAAAACTTTACAAATATGAATCATAACTACCATAGATATTGTCTCAACTTAAAGCGGGGAATATCTCATTAATTTTGCTCTTTTAACTTAAAAGTTTTACGTGACAAAATTTTCTTGTCATAGACGATATCAGCAATATGGCCGCCATCTTGGATTCTGTTGTTTTATTTAAAAAAGAATAAAGTTTGTGTGTTGCAATATGAGGCATCAAAAAGTAAATTTAAAACGATGACATGAGAATCAATTCAATATCATGAAAAATGAAAGTTGAGGAAGAAGAAGAAGAAGAAGAAGAAGAAGAAGAAGAATTATTTCGATGAATTTGGTTACAACAATACGTGTTTTACTCAGGGAACATCCCATAATTTCCTCATGATTCAATATGGCGACCATATTGATAATAAATAAAGTCTAATATTCGATTTATAAATGACAATAATTTTTTCGCATCGAGGCATTGTCCTAATTTACCTCCAATCTGACGTCTTGCTCGCCCTCGCATAAAGGACGTTTTGCCGTCTCCTATCACAAAGTCTTTGGTGTCATCTACGTTCATGACGCCTGCTATGTATGGAATGCTTCTATTGCCCTTATATGGACCAAGCTCATTGTCTTTGAAGGCATTGGATGGCCGCTTTGGCATAASGTCATCGGGCAGTTCTAAAACTACTATTTGCACATACCTAAAAGAATGAATGATTCTTAGATAAATAGATAATAATAATGATAACAATCGTTGATAATGATGGCTATGATGATTATGATTATGATTAGAATTATGATTAGTATGAAGTCAGATATGACGCGCGCTCTAATTGGCTGATGTCCATGGATTTAAGCCAGAGTCTAAAAATATACTTTTCCAGTTTGCCTCCGACTCTGAAATATCAATTCCCAGCAAAATGATAATTAATGATAATGAGTATAAATGGACAACCCGGTCGCTTGTGCCTCAGTCCAGTTTTTCTCGCAGCCAAGGAGACTAGAGTCAGTCAGAATTAGGTGGAAATAACTCGGGAAGCAAGAAATAAGATGGCGATTTTGTTACTTACTTGACTTCCATACCGTTCTTTAGATAACGTATCTTGTGAATTGGAATGGATATAGTCTCGGGCGTTCTACGCAATTTCATTGGAGGAGGATACGTAGGTGGACTGGAAACTACAAGGAAGAGAAATGTCAACATCTCTYGGATGCACATCATTTTAAAAGACCTCTGCAGCTTTTACGTCATGTACCATATACGCAATGCATTGTAGGATATGTTTGTGACAGAACATGGCGGATTTCTTTTGTTTTCTCTTGAAACTGATCCCACAATGCATTGAAAATCAAGTAGTGACGTAAAAGGTTCAGAAGTCTATTTTATATAGGGACTTGCTTTGCGGAAAAATCAGAAGTAACTAAACTTCGTCATCGTTCTCGGATCTAAAGGTTTCTAATGATGAAAAATTGATAAATTGTATGACATTTGACTTCGACCAATGACAGTAGAGTATGGTAAAACTAGAGAAGTAAGGGAAGCTGTTGGCTCCCCCCTTCTCCGCTGTCCCTTTCAACCATATTAATAGAGAGGAATAGATTTAACTTACAATCAATTTCCAGCATTTTGCTTGAATTCTTTGGTGTATTTCCTGAACTCTCCGCAGTGCAAGTGTACTTCCCAGCGTTGACTTTCCGTTTAACATTGGACAACGAAATGGTTTTTTTATATCTTCGATTCCCAAGAGGATCCTGCATAGATGAGATGTGAAGTCTTTCTCCATTTTTCTTTAAAGTTATTACAGGTCGAGGGGAGCTCTCCGCCGTACACGTAATGTCGACATTATCGCCCTCTTTCACTACAGCCGTTGCAATGTCACTACCGCGTTTGGATATTGCTATTATAACATCAGAAATATCTAAAAAATAATAATTCGATCTAAAATAAGAATTATATTTATAGTGACTGTGAAAGTTCTGTCAAACTAGATTTTTTAAGCAAAGACACTCAYAGATTCCTAATTCAAGAAAGGTTGCCAGAAAAAAATGGCTATTGGCATTTGTCAAACGGCGATTATCTTGCACTAARGAGCCATGTGTTTTGCTATTGAATATGATAACTGATTTATACTGTAAAATAGYCTGGGGTTATCATTGTCTCCATTCAGGCACCATTTACAATAGGCAAGGTGAACCCCAGCAAGTGAAATTTTATAAATTAAACAAGGCATGCAATCATAGTCCCATAGTCATGCATTCGACGTTCGCCGATCGCCATTGTCCATAACAAAGTTTTTTGCAAAAGTGTACTACTTTTTGGGGATAACCCACAATACCTCAGGGCCCTAGCAGSATTACAATAWGAAACCTTCTTACCAATACCGCCGCCATCTTGAATAATGAAGAAATTATGGGATGCCGTGGTGGCGAAAGTACGCATTCATGTGCATACAATTGGTACACAATTATAATGATTTAGTACTTTCTAAAATTTATATTACTGCAAATACTGTTTCAAAGAATTCAAATGTGTTTGTTCCGTTGATGGGACGCAGCAAGTTTACCAGTCAGGATGAATAGTGMCACCCCCACCACGGCCCCCTGAATAATTCAAGTGGATAAAAATCTATACAATATCTAGAGTAGAGAGCTTTATCCACCTTCAGTACAAAAGGACGCAATAGTTTGTTTGACCATCCTCGGGAACCCTGGGTAATCTTTTGTCGTTCATTGATGAACAAACGACAAGTTCCCGAGGATGTTGTTTGACTTACACAGCACTTTTACTCCTATTGTCATTACGTCAGTCCCTTTACTGTTCGAAGCAAAGCACTTGTATTCCCCAGCATCATCTGGCCTTAGTTTTTCAATGACTAACAAGGGGCCTTGTATCTTGACGAATGGACTACTCTTGATCGAGGTGTTGTCTTTYTCCCAAAGGATTGTGGGTATTGGGTTGCCTTCCGCTACACAATCCAAAGTCAGCATTTCTCCTTTTTTCTSTCTATACTCTTTTTGTGAAGGAGGTTTGATTGTAGSAGCGACTGAAAAAAGAAGAAAAGGAATAAAAAGGAATTAAAGTCTAAAGAAGACATTGAACACAATCAAAGTGGTTGATTTTCTTACACAGAACTTTAACGTCTATMGTTATTTTGTCATCTCCTATCGTGTTCTTGGCCATGCACGTGTACTTCCCATCATCACTCGGTCTGATGTTTTTAATGACCAACAGCGAACCATTYTTGATAGCGTTGTTATCTTTCTCCCAGCTGATGGTAGGCTTTGGGTTACCTGTGGCCTTACAACTTAAATTCAGCATTTTGCCCTTTTCCAATTCAACGACTTTTTGTGAGGGGCTTTCGATGTTAGGCGCTACAGCAAAAAAAAAAAAAAAAAAAAAAAAAAAAAAAAAAAAAAAAAAAAAAAAAAAAAAAGATAAGAAATAGTTATAGGGTGGTACATTGATGGAG